CCCAGTAAAAAAAGAGAACTACAGGCCAATATCCCTGATGAATATGGACGCAAAAATTCTCAATAAGATACTAGCAAATCGAATTCAACGGCATATAAAAAGAATTATTCACCATGATCAAGTGGGATTCATTCCTGGGATGCAGGGCTGGTTCAACATTTGCAAATCAATCAACGTGATACATCACATTAACAAAAAAAAAGAGAAGAACCATAGGATCCTGTCAATCGATGCAGAAAAGGCCTTTGACAAAATCCAGCACCCTTTCTTAATAAAAACCCTTGAGAAAGTCGGGATAGAAGGAACATACTTAAAGATCATAAAAGCCATTTATGAAAAGCCCACAGCTAACATCATCCTCAACGGGGAAAAACTGAGAGCTTTTTCCCCTGAGATCAGGAACACGACAGGGATGCCCACTCTCACCGCTGTTGTTTAACATAGTGCTGGAAGTTCTAGCATCAGCAATCAGACAACAAAAGGAAATCAAAGGCATCCAAATTGGCAAAGATGAAGTCAAGCTTTCGCTTTTTGCAGATGACATGATATTATACATGGAAAATCCGATAGACTCCACCAAAAGTCTGCTAGAACTGATACATGAATTCAGCAAAGTTGCAGGATACAAAATCAATGTACAGAAATCAGTTGCATTCTTATACACTAACAATGAAGCAACAGAAAGACAAATAAAGAAACTGATCCCATTCACAATTGCACCAAGAAGCATAAAATACCTAGGAATAAATCTAACAAAAATGTAAAGGATCCGTATGCTGAAAACTATAGAAAGCTTATGAAGGTAATTGAAGAAGATTTAAAGAAATGGAAAGACATTCCCTGCTCATGGATTGGAAGAATAAATATTGTCAAAATGTCAATACTACCCAAAGCTATCTACACATTCAATGCAATCGCAATCAAAATTGCACCAGCATTCTTCTCGAAACTAGAACAAGCAATCCTAAAATTTATATGGAACCACATAAGGCCCCGAATAGCCAAAGCAATTTTGAAGAAGAAGACCAAAGCAGGAGGCATCACAATCCCAGACTTTAGCCTCTACTACAAAGCTGTCATCATCAAGACAGCATGGTATTGGCACAAAAACAGACACATAGACCAATGGAATAGAATAGAAACCCCAGAACTAGACCCACAAACGTATGGCCAACTCATCTTTGACAAAGCAGGAAAGAACATCCAATGGGAAAAAGACAGTCTCTTTAACAAATGGTGCTGGGAGAACTGGACAGCAACATGCAGAAGGTTGAAACTAGACCACTTTCTCACACCATTCACAAAAATAAACTCCAAATGGATAAAGGACCTGAATGTGAGACAGGAAACCATCCAAACCTTAGAGGAGAAAGCAGGAAAAGACCTCTCTGACCTCAGCCGTAGCAATCTCTTACTCGACACATCCCCAAAGGCAAGGGAATTAAAAGCAAAAGTGAATTACTGGGACCTTATGAAGATAAAAAGCTTCTGCACAGCAAAGGAAACAACCAACAAAACTAAAAGGCAACCAAAGGAATGGGAAAAGATATTTGCAAATGACATATCGCACAAAGGGCTAGTATCCAAAATCTATAAAGAGCTCACCAAACTCCACACCCGAAAAGCAAATAACCCAGTGAAGAAAGGGGCAGAAAACATGAATAGACACTTCTCTAAAGAAGACATCCGGATGGCCAACAGGCACATGAAAAGATGTTCAGCGTCGCTCCTTATCAGGGAAATACAAATCAAAACCACACTCAGGTATCACCTCACGCCAGTCAGAGTGGCCAAAATGAACAAATCAGGAGACTATAGATGCTGGAGAGGATGTGGGGAAACAGGAACACTCTTGCACTGTTGGTGGGAATGCAAATTGGTGCAGCCGCTCTGGAAAGCAGTGTGGAGGTTCCTCAGAAAATTAAAAATAGACCTACCCTATGACCCAGCAATAGCACTGCTAGGAATTTATCCAAGGGACACAGGAGTACTGATGCATAGGGGCACTTGTACCCCAATGTTCATAGCAGCACTCTCAACAATAGCCAAATTATGGAAAGAACCTAAATGTCCATCAACTGATGAATGGATAAAGAAATTGTGGTTTATATTCACAATGGAATACTACGTGGCAATGAGAAAAAATGAAATATGGCCTTTTGTAGCAACATGGATGGAACTGGAGAGTGTGATGCTAAGTGAAATAAGCCATACAGAGAAAGACAGATACCATATGGTTTCACTCTTATGTGGATCCTGAGAAACTTAACAGGAACCCATGGGGGAGGGGAAGGAAAAAAAAAAAAAAAAGAGGTTAGAGTGGGAGAGAGCCAAAGCATAAGAGACTGTTGAGAACTGAGAACAAACTAAGGGTTGATGGGGGGTGGGAGGGAGGAGAGGGTGGGTGATGGGTATTGAGGAGGGCACCTTTTGTGATGAGCACCGGGTGTTGTATGGAAACCACTTTGACAATAAATTTCATATATAAATAAAAAAAAAAAAAAAAACTAAGGACAGTAGCTAATATCGTTTTAAATGGAATAGGATGCCTTACAAAGTGGCATGTTCCTTGTCCTTGCAAGTATTCAATCAAAGTTTAACTGGACACCTGTCAGGAGTATTTTAGAAAGATTGTTACATTATATTAGATACTGAAATATCTGTCCTCTAAGATCCCGTTCATTCCTAAGATTCTGAAATCTAACAATTAATATAAAATTGAGAACACCTGTTAGTCATTTCTTACTGTATTAGAGTTACACTCCTGTAGACAATGACTTTTTTAACCTATGACTATTTTAATTTTACTGTATTGTAGTTATATAAATTTAGCAAGGCCTCATGTCCATAAAGTTTTCAAGACTAACATACTGAATAGTAAATGTATTGGAATAAACCTCATGACTTCTAGGAAAATTTCACAGAACCTACTCATATATATGCAACTCATATATGTGCAATTGTGATATCAGAGTGAAATTATGGGCTGAGACATGAGGCAGTTTCCAGTTTCACATCTTTGGCAGAAAGAATCAATAATCAAACTATATTAAAGAATCAAATATCACAGTAAAACATGAGATTGGCGCTCATTCTTTTAATTCATTTTTAAACAAACATTAATGAAGCCTATTTAGAAAAAAATACTCTTCTAATTAAATTCTGTGATTTGTAGTCTACCACAATACTTGTGGGATATTGGACAGGAATTTAACCTATCTAAGTCTCAGATCCTTTGTTAAGTGGAAGTAAAAATATCTATTTTATTGAGTTCTTAGAAATAAAAATAGATGCTTTCTGTGACTCACTTAACAGTGTAATAGTATGTATTGTAAGTAGCAGCTGATATTATTTTTGGTACATAAATATGATTTCAAGTGATGATTTCTGCACAATAAAAAAACCTCATATTTCAAGTAATCAATTAAAGAACAAATTGAAATATGTAAGAAACACTCTGGAAAGAAAGAGTAACATATTAGGTAAAAAAAAAAAATCCATGGAGAAAGCTATCTACTCTACATTTTTAAGATGATAAATTTACTTAAGAATCTCCTTAGGACCTCACAGTTTATTTGACTCTTATTTTTTTTAAGTAAATCTTTCCTTTACCACATTGTGTGTAAAGTAGACATTTAAAAATATAGTTTGAGAGGACTAGTAACTAGGCTGGCCCAATAACATCACAACAAGAGATATCTAGGGAAATATCCTTTTAAAAAAGGACATCATATCTAGGTATTCTATGGTTTCAGGCAGCCATCACTACTTTTTTAGTGGCTCTGTCTTTTCATTCCTCTGAGATTTTCCTATCATATGTTTTTTGTTTACTTTTGCTTATGCATATTTCACCACCCTCCCTTAAAAAAGCTGCTTTCATTAGCAGAATTAAAATATTTGAGCTTTCTTTAACGTTTTGTCTGCTGAATAACATTTAATAGTAATCTATTGAGAACCTCCAGTGAGAAACATTTTTTTCCTGACAGAAAAAGATCAATTTTACTTGAATATTCAGGTGCTGATTGATTCTGATAAAGATATGGGAAAGTGTCTGATAATACTGACAAGAATCATAGAAATAATTTTAATAATAGTTACCTTTCCTTGACTCATTTTTAACTGCCAGAAACTATATTAAGGAATTTATCTGTATAATTCCAATGAAAATCTCTAACTTCTATGTAACCTGTACTTTATAATGAGAAATATTCTAAGTAGCAAATGTAAATTGTTTGGCCTTGTTTACCCAACCAGTAAGAGCTATAGTTGTGATACGAGCCTAGATTTGTCTGACTAGAAAACTCATGATTTTAAGAAAGTTTCAAGAGTAATTGAAGTATGATAAAGTGATAATCTTAGGGGTTATATGGGATAAAGGGGGAATAAAATAATGTAAAAGCACTCTTTGGATCACACATCTAAAACCTTGTGCTAAACCAGTTTTATTTTATTTTCTGTCAAAGTTGTACTCAGAGATTATTCTGTAGGATTTATTTAGAATTTTACATGAAAATTTACCATCAGGTTCATACTTATGTAGTCTTTGGATTGAAAAATTCTAAGCTGAGTTTGAATTCAGTGACTCAATTGTTTTTATATTTATAATATTTGTATATTAATGTTTTATTAAGATGTAAACTAAAGAGCTTGGATAAACAATACTTTTTTTTTCTATTTTTTTATTTGTATTTCTTAGAGGTCACAAGTGGGAGAGAGGGACAGAGGGAGACAGAGAAAGAGTCTTAAGCAGGTTTCATGCTCAGCATGGAGCCTGATGTGGGGCTCCATCCCATGACCATTGTTCACGGCCTGATCTGAAATGAAGCATCAGTTGCTCAACTAACTGAGACACACACATGACCCAGCAATACCTTATTTTGATATTAGTACATAATTGTTTTTATATTTTTGTAAATTATGAATTATTTTACATACAGTTTTTCATTTACTATAGACCTTTTTTAATGAGTTTTACTCTAATTACCTTTGTGCTTACATAGGAATGGGCCATCTAGTTAGAACTAAAAAAGAACATTCAAATAAATCTGCATATAACCATCAAACTAAGAAGAAGTGGATAATGATCTGAAGAAAGTAAGTAAGAAAAAGTTTCTATGTTCAAATTTTTTCTTTGATTAAAAGTTTTATAAAATGAAAAAAGACTTATAAAATACTTTTAATTTGTATTCCAAACCCTACCTAAGCTATTGTTAGAGTTCTGTTGCTTTAATTCCACTAGCAACTGGGAAGCTTATTAATGTATTTAATGTCTTTCAATTTTGTAGCCATATTTACATAACAGGAATTCCTTCATCATTCTCTTTCATTTTCATGTAAAAATCATACTTTTTATAAATACTACATATTCTAGTAACTCAGTAAACTAATGATGTCCATTCCCACAGGTAACAAAATACAATTTCCACAAAAACATGCAATTCATTCTAAAACCTCAGAAACATCATTTTGTTGACAGTTTTGATATCTATGTCCAAATATATAATATAGCATTGACTCTTTGCCAGTTTTATTTCCTAAGAGGGCAAAGTGCTTAGAATATAATATATACAGTGGGTATTCAACAAATATTTGTTGAAGACATGAAATTTCTTTTTTATTTCCTCCTTTTATTCATTAATAATACATTTTTGAATTTCCATTTGTAAACCAGACATTTTGTTAATTACTTTGAATACATAAGTTTAAGTGTAAAATGTTGTCATAATATAAATCCTTGTTTAGATATTGTTACCCTATTCATTAGGTAGACTGTGCTGGGATGCTTCCTGGGTCTGAAGAGTTAAAAATGTTTAGTTTATAATGACCTCCTTCACATCCCAATTGTTACATATCTGTGAAATCACGTGATACGCTTCTGAAGGAAGATAATTATTCAAAGCTATATTTCACAAAAAGTTACACATTCAAAAACAGAGTGTTCTTAAATTGCAAAGTTATAAAACTAAGTTAAAAATTACTCAGTTTCCAACTATCTGGACGGGTAAAGCTCATTAGATTTTTGATAGAATTTTATTCATCTACAAGTTATAAGTAAAAGTAACCCGTCTGTCTACAATGCTTCATGTACCAAAGACTTGTAATTTATCGTGTTTCCTGATCCCTCAAGGAAAGAAGAGATTTTAATAAGAAGCTGTGTTAAGTTCAAGCCATTAATGTCATATATTATTTAGCTCCAACTATCATAATGGTGTCTATGAACTTTCTTTGCTCATTATTTTTATGCTTGCTTTAACATAGCAAGCAGCTTGTCCTCTCATCCTGTCAGATCCACAGAGCTATGCACTGTTGGTCTGAGTACTTGACAGAGAGCTGTCAAGAACTCTTAAGACCCTTTTGCTGATTCGTTTGGGTGTCAGGCTCTAAAGGAAGTTCTTCTTAAGAAAAGACAGCCTATCCCTGATTTGGGGGCAAAAGGGAAGATCAGTTATAATATCTTCTGGGCTCAAAATACTCAAATGTAAATGCTGTGCCATTTAGTTAGGACACTTTATATTGTGCTATGCTGGTTCCAGACAGCTGTGTTTAATAGAGATAAAAATAAATACAGCAGTCAGTTCCACACTTCTTTCCCCTGGAAGGTGAACACAATTTTGAAACAGGTAAAATTAAGAATAAAAAGCATGTTCTTCCAAAGAGATAAAGTGATATCTCAGTCAAGAATTTGACACAAGATAGAGGTGAAAACACTCATGTAAAGTAAGAACATCTTGAATTTGCAGCTGAACTAGCTGTATAATCATGGGCTAATGCCAAGCTCTCTGAAACTTTGCTTCCCTTGTAAGCATGAATCTCAAAATGATAAATAACTTATATGACCATTGTAAAACAAGGTATTAAGAAAAAGGTCTTGTGACCAAGATGGTGCTAATATTTCTTTCAGGTTGACTAAACTTTAGACAGACTTCTTCCAGATTTTATCTAAGCCCTAACCTCCCTTTCTTTAGATCATTTACTTTAGAAAACTTGTCATTGTGAATTCTTCCTCTGCCCTTTTCAGATATAAAAAATAATTTTAAAGCCTTTTGCCAGATTTACTATCCAGGATTGTCTTAAGGATCAGAGGCCATTCCCTTGAAATGTAATCATTAAGGAAGACAGGCCCTCGGTCTCTGAGGGCGAGTAGGAGCCTGGCATCAGGGGGTGCCTTGCCCTAAATTTTAAAATGATCTCCTTTCATAAAGGTATGAGAAAGTCTACTTTTCCTTTGTGTAGGCAAATTAGTAAATACAAATGGCCTATGTTCCCCCTCTTTTCTCACCCTCTTTTCAGTTCTTAAAAACTCTCTAGCTCTTTGTTTCAGGAGAATTGAGTTTAAAAGGTAGCTGTCCTCTGTCCTCTCTCCTCTGTAGCAAGAGCCTCTACCTGTTTAACTTCATCAGTCTCTTGTTGCTTTGACACATGCTAACACTCTCTTTGTGTTTACCATGCATACCACAGCATTCACCTTTGATGATTATCCTTTTTTGCTGAAAAATGACCCAAAGGCTGAGTAAACCATTAATATTGCTTGGTGAATCCTTTCTCAGCATATCTCCTTGAATACAATGTGATTCAGACAGCTCTCATTCTGCACACTGAAACTGAAAATTCTTCTCTTACTGGCACATTTTTCCTAGTAATATTTGTTCATTTTTTAATTATTAAATCCTCTCCTTGCCTAAAATGTTTCCAGAAGCAACAATAAAATATCATTAATTAAAAATGAAAAAAGTGATAAATTTGCATGATAAAATCTTGCAGTAATAGGAAATAGTATTAAAAAGGGAATAAAACCCTCTAGACTATATACCAGGGAAACTATTTCAAATAGGGTGATTTTTTCATAAAGATATTTTCATGCTTAATCATGAATATAAATTTCTTTTAAATAAATTGGAAATTTGGGAATATGTTGTGAATACTTTGTAATTTTTAGAACAATTTATTTTTCTATAATGAATGAAATGAAAATGTTCTAACATTTAATGTGAACACATATAGGTATTTTAAATAGACATATACACACACCCACACACTCAATTTCAGTCTCTTAAAATTTATTTATCTATTTATAGTTATTTATTTTATTTTATTTTTATTTGCTTATATATATAATTTGTTGTCAAGTTAGCTAACATACAGTGTATATACAGTGTGCTCTTGATTTCGGGTCTAGAGTCCCATGATTCATCACTTACATACAACACCCACTGCTCATCCCAACAAGTGCCCTTCTCAATGCCCATCACCCATTTCCCCCCCTCCCCAACCCTCCATCAACTCTCAGTTCTCTGTATTTAAGAGTCTCTTAGGGTTTATCTCCCTCTCTGTTTGAAACTATTTTTCCCCTTCCCTTCCCCCATGGTCTTCTGTTAAGTTTCTCAAGTTCCACACTCGTGAAAACATAAAATATCTGTCCTTCTCTGACTGACTTATTTCACTCAGCATAATACCCTCCAGTTCCATCCACGTTGTTGCAAATGGCAGGATTTCATTCTTTCTCATTGCCAAGTAGTATTCCATTGTGTATATAAACCACATCTTTGTCCATTCATCAGTTGATGGACATTTCAGCTCTTTCCATAATTTGGCTATTGTTGAAAGTGCTGCTATAAACATTGGGGTACATGTGCCCCTATGAATCAGCACTCCTATATTCTTTCAGTAAATTCCTAGTAGTACTATTGCTGGGTCTTAGGGTAGTTTTATTTTTAATTTTTTAAGGAACCGCCACACTTTTCCAGAGTGGCTGCACCAGTTTGCATTCCCACCAACAGTGCAAGAGTGTTCTCATTTCTCCACATTCTTACCAAAATCTATTGTTGCCTGAGTTGCTAATTTTAGCCACTTTGACTGGTTTGAGGTGGTATCTCTGTGGTTTTGATTTGTATTTCCATTTTGATGAGTGATGTTGACCATCTTTTCAAGTGTCTGTTTGCCATCTGGATGTCTTCTTTAGAAAAGTGTCTATTCGTGTCTTCTGCCCATTTCTTCCCTGGATTGTTTTTTGGTTGCTGAGTTTGGTAAGTTCTGTATAGATTTGGGATACTAACCCTTTTTCTGATATGTCATTTGCAAGTATCTTCTTCCATTCCACTGGTTGCCTTTTAGTTTTGTTGATTGTTTCCTTTGCAGTCCAGAAGCTTTTTGTCTGGAGAGGTCCCAATATTTCAGTTTTGCTTTTATTTTCCTTGCCTCTGGAAATGTGTTAAGTAAGAAGTTGCTGTGGCTGAGGTCAAAGAGGTTGTTGCCTGCTTTATCCTGTAGGATTTTGATGGTTTCCTGTCTCACATTTAGTTCTTCCATCTATTTTGAGTTTATTTTTATGCATGTGTAAGAAAGTGATCTGGGTTCATTCTTCTGCATGTAGTCCAGTTCTCCCAGCACTATTTATTGAAGAGACTGTCTTTTTTCCATTGGATGCTCTTTCCTGGTTTGTCACAGACTAGTTAGCCATACATTTGTGGGTCCAATTCTGGGTTCTCTATTCTATTACATTGGTCTATGTATCTGTTCTTGTGCCAGTACCATACTGTTTTGATGATTACAGCCTTGTAGTAGAGGCTAAAGTCTGAGACTGTGATGCCTCCCACTTTGGTTTTCTTTTTCAACATAACTTTGGCTATTTTGGGTCTTTTTTGGTCATATATCACACATCTGATATTACTACTGAAATAAGTGTCTCAGTTAAGAATTTAACAGCACTAATGAACATATTGTGTCTCTTCTATTTTCAACTATCCCCCAAACACACACCTCTTATGGACTCTCACTGCACAGATCGAAAGTGAGGGAATAGAAGAAGATTTGCCATGGGAATGGGCATCAAAAGAAAGCCAGAATAGCAATATTTATATCAGACAAACTAGTTTTTAAACCAAAGACTGCAACAGGAAATGAATAAGGTCACTATATCATCATAAAGGAGGCAATCTAACAAAAAGATCCAGCAATTATAAATATTTATGCATCCAACATGGAGGCACCCAAATATATAAAACAATAACAAATATTAAAATACTTAATGTTAATAATATAATAATAGTAGGGGACTGTAACAAAACAAATACATCAATGGACAAATAATCTAAATA